ATCCTTTGAAATGTAATCATTAAAGAAGTTAGGGCTCCAAATCCCCAGTGTTTGTGGAAGAGAAAGAGTTTACAAGTGTCAATTAGCAAATACAGATGGCCTAACCACATTAGCCAACCTCCTACTTTCTCATTAATTTAACCCACTGCTTAAAAACTCTCCCATCATTTATTTCAAAGGAATTGAGTTCGCTTTCTCTTCCCTAATGGCATAGTCTTTGTCAGATCAGGCTGGGCAGGCAGCAACCAAAGGAGGCAGATTTAAAAGGGCCGCTGAACAGGCTTTATTGAGATATCACTCCCTGGTGGAACTGGATCAGACCCACAGATGGGACAGGGGAAGGGTCTAAGGAGAAACCGCCTGGAAGCTCAACCAGACTGGACTTTTATGGGGCTTACAGCAGGAAGGGAAGGGCTTGGGACAGGAAAAGGTGTCTCTAGGGTCCCTTGCCCCCTTGGAGTTGGTCAGGGGAGTTGGCTGAACTCCAGGATTGGCCAGGGGGTCCTGCTGATTGACAGGCGTTAGTCACAAGATCTGGCTGATTGACAGGCGTTTCCACCGCATCTGATTGATGTTTAAAGCAGCGCGGGCTGCTTTGTTCTAAGTTGCCACTAAGTCGCCACCAAGTCGCTGCCACCGACCTAACAGTCTTGAGTAAAGTCTCCCTTTGCTTACCTCTGTCCTGTGAAATTTTTTCTTCTACAGTAGTGAAAAAAAAGAAGCATTTTGAGTGAGGACTGATGGAATCCTATTGGCATGAGGAAGCTGGAGGCCAAATATCTACAAGGGCAGATGGTAATGATATTGGGTTCAATCTCAGCTCCTTTTATGATTGATTTAGAGTTTTTTCTCAGGCAAGTCCTGAGTTGGAAGGGTGCAAAACCACAGGAACGCTGACAGTCATTCACCAGGTTTTGCTCTTTTGGACTGATTCCTGCAAAGGCTGTCATTTGGCTTCTTAGGCTGGTTGCCAAAAAAGTTGTAGGTTGGCATTTTGCAGTAAATAGTGTCAACTTCATAGGGTATGTTTTCTAGGATTAAGTTAAATGAAAAATACTTTGAACAGTGCCTGGCATAAAATAAATACTCAAAATTAACCATTATTATTATTTATAATATTAATGTTGTTATTGTTTACTTCATTTTCCTCTAAACCAAACTTTAGTCTTTAATGACAAAGAGCAGAAGATTTATAACACAAGAATATCAAACTTAAGCCAGAATTTTTATTAAGTCTCTTTTCTTTCTTTTTTCAAATGTTAATATATCTGCTCTGGCCATTGTCCATTTATAGATTCAGCCTTTCTCTAACTTTGTGTGTATGTGTGTGTGTGTTTGTGCATGTCTGAATGTACATTCACATGCACTAGGTTTGGAACCCAGGGCCTTGCAAACGCATAGCACACTGTCTACTAAACAGCTACACTTTCATTTGCATTAATTTTAGAACAATCTTGAAGTTATTGAAAGAATTCCCCACGCAAAGACACTTCGCTGGGAGAATTCCAATTTTATTGCAAAAATCTGTGTGCTTATATAGAACTAAAGGGGAGATGGTAGGGCTTAGATAAATGGCAGGACACCCGTTTATTGGCAAGTTCTTCCAGATATCAGCTCCCACGCCCAGGAATTAGTTCTCATTGGGGCTAAGGTTCCCCACCAGCGAGATTTGAAATTGGCGCCGGCGGGAGAGTACACAAGGGCGGGAACTTTTCGAGCCACTGCAGAGAAGAAGAAGGTAGGAAGAAGAAGTCCTTAGGTGCCATGTTGGGTTTTTTTCTCTGGGGTATGGCTGCCATTTATACTTTTCCCAACAGTTATCATAAGAAACCAGACGACTCAGTTACAGAATTCTGGGAGATTTAGTCACAGAATTCTTCTTTGACGTGACCACATTACCACCCAAAATACTGTCCAAAGGATTAGTGCCACCTTACTGGACCTGATGTAAGGCCTGCATAGAGTCTACCTAGGCATGGGGCATTATCCAGTGGCCACTGAAGTTATAGGGCAGTAAACCTAATCTTAAAACAGCATAACTTCCCTCTGGTTCAAAACTCTGAATGTTAAAGCTGCTTTGTATGCCCATTGGACAAACCTCAGATATATGTTCTGCTTTATGACTTTGAACTTGTTTTGAGATTACTATAAAAGTAGGTATGATTTAAAACCCTGAATTCAACTTACTTGGGAAAGGAGTAAGCAATATAGGGGGTATCAGAGAACTTCCCAGGGAGGGCTTCTGAATGCTGTCAACTTCTTTAAGGATTCTCCTATACCCGGTATCCTTGTCTCAGAAGCCCACAGCATATCCATGGACTTCCCAGCCAGCCTCAGTGTTGACCCAGATCTGGACCTTATAAGGATTCAAGATATAGTCTTACCATCCCAACAGACTGAAAAATATACAAATTTATAATGAGATAATTTTGTAATAAAATCAGTCATAATTCTCCTCTTTGGGTGTTATGTTGGAGAGGAAGAAAGGGTATTCTGACTTATATTCAGTTGGATGCCAAGGTTTAGGCAATTGAAGGGGATAGAGATTCCCAAAGAATAAACAGTAAGTAGTGCATTATCTTTAGACATTTTCAAACAATGATAAAGCCAGACTAAATATCTGCTTTTTATTATTACTATGTGTTTTATGATAACATACTTTTCTCCTGGTCAAAAAAAATCTATTGTTGATCTAAATTCTAAAAAACCTGCGATTGTTGTTTGAATTTTAATCACAAGGATATAAGCCTCAAATCAGTATATTTTAATTTTCCTTTACTTTTTCTTTCTGTGTGAATGCTTAAAGAAGTCTCATTGTTGTCCCCTAGTACCTCTGTCTTACTGTCCATCTCTCTACAACGTAATTATACACACACAGACTCAGCTATCTGCATTTAACAGTAAATTCCTAAGAGTTTACAATCTTTCAAGTGGGCTTTGAATTCACTTTATGTCTCCAACTTTTCTCTATTTCTGATTTCAAGAGTAGATTCAAAATAAACAACAACACAGCTATTGTATGACAGTCTATGTAACTATGGCATGCAAAATTTACAATACAGAAACAATTAAATGTAATATTTTGTTTTTAAGTGCCAATTGAGTTCACCAGTAAATTACTGATTTGATATATCTTTAACATAAAATTTATTCTTTTTTATTGTTAATTATTTTAAATGAAAGAGTTAATTAAGTAAATAAAACATTATGTGAGTAGTAAAATTTAGTTGCTTCTTTTGCAAACATTTCAGTTTTATTAAAGTTTACTTGGTCACTACTTCACAATTATGTACATTAAATGATGTTATATCAGATTCTCACCAAAGGTTCAAAGTTATTTGTTTCTCTTTATGATTGTGACTAATCATTATTTTCTCATCTGCTTCTGGTAACAGACACACCATGTGTGCCTCTGCCAATATTTAATCACGAAGTCATAAAAATGGAAGGCTGACAGTGCTGTAACTAAAACTTAGATTTTTTGATCTCTAATCAAAGCTGTTTCTATTATTCCCTATGGAAGAGAAAGAAGTTCATTAATTAATTTTAACTTTGGATTCAGAATTTATATATATATATATATATTTTGCTACAAGGGACTAAACTCAGGGTTCTCTACCATGAAGTTTTATCCACAACTGTTTTTTATTTATTTATTTATTTATTTTATCTTGAGACAGGATCTTGCTAAATTGTGTAGGCTGGTTTTGTACTTTCCATCCTCCAGCCTCGACTTCCTGTCTCTGGGATTACAGGTGTGCACGATTACAGGTGTGCACCACCACACCTGGCTAACTGAAATAATTTTGAACACAAATTATAAGTACAACTGAAAAAATGCAAGTGTATTCAGGCAAAAAATTAAGGTTAGTAGATATAATTTCTTTATTATAAAAACATTTCATTTAGTTCATTGGAAAGTCAGGGCACCTAAGTATTATCCATTGGACTTACTCAAAAATGTTTTGTGGAAAACGATGGATTGGGGATGAGTTTTACGGCCTAACATTCCTCTCAGCCTTACTCAACTGTAGGCAGTTTTCCTGCTGATGAGGCCCTGTTCTTGGAGTCTTTGAGAAATTTTTCATTAATTCTTTCCCTTTGAGATGTAAGATGGTCTGATCATAGAAATATTTGTAAAATCCGGAATAGCTCTGTGTGCTGAACACATCCCATTGATCAAACTCCCTCTTAACTTCTTTTAGTATTTTTCCATTGCTAACCCTATTGCTAAATCGTCTTTCAACTCTTCAGTAGAGCTTAGCTCCAACTAAGTTTTAGCCTATTATGATATCCTTTAAAAATGTCATCTTTGATTGTTAATCTTTCCCAGTATGAGTTTTTTATTTAAAAAAATATTGGTATTGGAAATTGAACCCAGGGGAGCTTTGACACTGAGCTACATCCTCAGCCCTTTGTATTTTGAGAGTGGGTTTCACTATATTGCCTAGACTGGCCTCAAACTTTCAATTCTCCAGCCTCAGCTTCCTAAGTTATCTAGCAGGTATGCACTGTGCCCTGCTTCCCAGTATGATTTTTAATTTGACAGAAATCAGATAGAAGCAGGGAATGCATACTTGTATTGATGATGGATAAGTACACTAGACTTTATAAAAGTTAAAAGTATCTTGTGTTTCAGGGGAACCCACAATCTTTTCCTTCTCCACGGCCTCCTGCCCATGATTCACTGGGACTTGAACAGTGAACATGAGTGGGGCCTCTTCACATTCCAATAATGCCAGGAGCAGCAAGCTGTCTGTACTCATACAATTATCCATTACTAACTTCTGTTTTTTTTGTTTTTTGTTTTCTGTTTGTTGTTGTTTATTCACAGAATGAAACCAAGCCTTATGTTTAGTGTGATCCTCAGTGGAACTGAATTTTCTTCATAGCAGTTTTGATAAAGTTATGGGTCTTCCAGGTCAAATTTTTATACATTCCCCTTCACACCAACACCAATTCTGGCTTTTGATAGGAAATAACTAGAGTCACTTATGCCTTGGAGGATCAGGTCAGTGTCACCTTTAAAGGAAAAAAACCAAGAGCACTAAGTGGAGGTTGTTTTTTGTCAAGTGTTCTGTTCATTTATTGTCTTGAACAATGGCATTAGGAAGGTTTCCTCTACAGCAATTAGCACAGGAAACTTAATCTGATCTGACAAGAGAAACCTATATGAGGGTGTGGCAAATGGCTTAAGTAATTCCTAAGTGTTTGGCAGAATAACATGGCTGGTAAAATGCAGGGAAGGGATGTCTATGCTAATGACCACAAGATAACACTAACTGAATATAACAAGATAACACTAACTGAAGCTGAAAGAGCTTAGACCCTGAGCAGAGCACATATCTTATGAGGCATTGGTCTTGTGGTGAAGCCAATATCCGGAGTGAGGTCCAGGTCCAGATGGGAAACTCCTTGGGGTGGCTGGAAAGTGAACTTCTGCATGAGGCTGGTGAAAAAAAGGAATAGCTCCATCCTGGCCAGCGACTCACCAACACACTTCCGGTTACCTGGAGAGATGGACATGTTGGAGGGTTACAAGACAGAAAAAAATCTTAAAAACAATCTGGACAGAGACAAGAACAGAACTGTGTGGAACTGTCATTTAACCTCTTCTGAGCCTCATCAGCCCTGTCTCCTCGTTTAAACCCTGGAGATACAAGGTTAAGTACAAATGCCAGATTTACCTTTTAAGCTCCTTTAGAGAAAAAATGCTATTAAACATTAACATTTTGATCTGCAAATTTTTTAAGGGTTTGGATATGAGGTGTCCCCCCCCCAACTCCTGTGTTAATGCAGGAATGTTTGGAGTTGAAATGATTGGCTTGAGAGAGCCATACCCTAATCATAATCAGTTCATGCTAGTTTGAATGGACTGACTGGGTGGTAATGGACTAACTGGGCTGTAGGAAGATGGCATGTAGCTCAAGAAGGTAGGTCACTGGGGGCATGCCTTGGAAGGGATTATCTTCCCTGTGGCCCCTTACTCCCTTCTGTCTCTCTGCTTCCTGGCCACCATGAGCCCAAAAGCACTTCTCAGCCCTGCCCTTCTGCGATAATGTTCTGCCTTATCTTGGGCCCAGAGCCAAGGAGTAGGCTGACCATCAACTGAACCTCTTAAACTCTGAGCCAGAAAAAAACCTTTCCTCCACCAAGTTGTTCTTGTTGGGTATTTTGGTCACAGCCATGAAAACCTGACAAACACAAATGTCATAAAAGATAAAGCCAAATGTGTCATGGAACACATAGGTACCTAATGAGGCTTGGAGGACCAAGGAGGGCTCATGCTTGGAAGGAGAACTTTAGCAAAGTTAGCCAGACAAAAAAGGAGGAAGATAAGAAAGGGAATCTGATGCTTTTGAAGACTGGAAGAAATTTGACTTGGGCTAGAGAACAGAGTATGAGGTAGTTTATTTTGATTCTGATGCCAAAGGTATGAGTAGGGACTTGATTGTGATGATGTTGAAATCTGCTGACGATTTCAAGAAGAGAGACTTGGTTGCTATTATTCTGAAACCTGAATTATTTAGAAAAAAATGTCTAAAAACTGAAATAAAATTGGGACACGAATTTTTCTTGTTAGGTTTTTATGAGAATAACTGGGATTTTAATGATAATATACATTTCATAACATGTGCTGAGGATGATATATCTTGTTCAGTGTAAGTTTAATGAGTTTTATGGTTGTCCTATTCAGCAAAAGCAGTATATTTGACTGAAATGTAGCATTATTAAAAGTTTCTGTTTACAATCCTTCAAAAGGTCCAAGTAGATCTTCCCAAGGTCTCTAAAGCCTACATCTGCTGCTTACTTTATGGCTTGTAAAATTTTGTAGGGTTGTTCAGTTATATTTTTTTTCCTTTTTTTAATTGAATATAAATCACAAGTGCTCTGAATCACAGAGGATTTCAAAGCTCAGGAAAATATTAAAATGTAGATATTTTACCACAAAAGGAAAGTTTCCCATATTAGTGCTTTGGTTTATATGGGATCTCTGGGATTTAGGCTTTACAGACAAACTTTGGTAACAAGCCAAGATTTTTCAGAGGTGAAAGATCATGAATATTATCTCTCTGCTTAGAAGCATCCATTAAGTAAAAGTTAACCATCCAAATCACAAACATATCATAAGATATAGTTATTGAGCTTGGCTCTGACACTACTATTGTTCTCAAAGGATTTTCTGTGTAGTGGGTAAATACAGAAAGTGAATAGGCAATGATAAAACAGCATCATAAAACATGGGGAACCTGTGGAAAGAACACCTAATCTAGATTCTTGGGTTAGGTCTTCCCACCTGCTCCTAATGAATGCATGAATGAGTGGTGCTAACTGAAAGACAGATTAAAAACAACCTAGGGTGTCAATGATTTACCACATGTTTAAGCATTATTGAGTTTCCTGATAAGAGCTTAGCTATCCAACATAATAAAGCATGTATTATGATAGTTTATATAGACAAATAGGTGAAAAGATGGTATGGTTTTATATATTTCAAGAAAAGTGCTATATACAAAACTGGGAGCCATCTTGGAGGGCAATTAAACACATTCAGATCAAATAAACCTTCCAGAGAAAAAGATTTACAACTTATTAAGGTACATAATAATTGGTAAGAAATGAATGGGAGAAGAGAGTGACTTCAACATAAATAGAGGAATTTGGGATTTGGAGAGATCTTACCATCTAAGTTGAGGCTCAAAAGTGCTTATAATACCTCATGGACTTGAAAGGCTGCTGCAGGAGGATCAGGTCAGCCTCAGAAATTTTGTGAGATCCTGTCTTCAAAAATAAAAAGGACTGGGGATGCAACTCAGTATTAAAGTGCCTCTGGGCTTAATCACAGTAGTAATAAAATAAATAGTATTGCTACTTTTGGATTTTTTTTTTTTGGTTAAAGCAGTAAATAAATTCTAATTCTTTAAGTAAATTGGGAAAAATACTTTGAGAATAGGCCATACTACAAAAAACTTCACTGCTAACTTCTTGTCTTTCAGTCTAAAGCAGCCTCCAGCCTCAGGTACATGAGAAGATAGAGAAGGCCCGGATTCAATGTTGATGGTAGCTCAAGAGAAGGAGTGTAAGTAATTCTTCATAGTGTAAAAGGGGTGTGAAGGAGAACATAATTCCTTCTTTCTAAATTTCAACAGCAGTAAGTCCAAGAGCTGATAAGAGAGTCTGGAAATAACTTTTATATGTGATACAATCATTCCTTTTCCCTTTTCTTTGTAACATCAGATTTAGAAATAGATGTAGTTAAAGTGCCCTCCAAAGACTATCATTCATCTTTTCATAGCTCTCCCCTCCCCCACAAAGAGAAACAAGGAAGTGTTCAGAGAAATTGAGCTTATAACACTGCAAACTATATGTAAATTGTTTTTCTTTCCTTTAACTCTTGTTCCAGATGTGCTATTGCTTTTGATTTGTCGTCATTATATGCAACATTTTTCTCCTTTATCATTGTGTGTGTGTGTGTGTGTGTGTGTGTGTGTGTGTGTGTGTAAAAATCAGGAGAATGGATTGTGCTTCATATCTCCACACCACTTACTTTCCAGCAGGTGAAGAAAGCCTAGTCCTGAAGTGGCTGCTGCCTATGGCTTACTGAATGGTGTCTGGGTGAACCTAAGACATGATTTATATGAGTAGAAAGACCAGGATTCACTAAGGACTCATGATGCAGTGTTGCCAAAACTCTGCTAGGAACAAAGAAGAATTAATTTTAGGCTTTTGGGAATCCAGACAGTTATGGGGGTAACTCCACTGAATTCCTTGAATTTACACTAGTGGAAATTACACATTTACACTGATGGAAATCTCCTCCCTCCCATACCCCAAAGAAATCTAAAGAGAAATGCTGGTATTTACCTGTTAATGCAAGGCTTTTCTGGTGGGATGAAGTGGGTTGCCCCTTGTTTCCCTGTTTAATTCTTTCCTCAAACGCTGGAAGTTATACCTGGTCCCAGTCACAAGGAGTCTGCAAGGGTTCCCTAAAAATATGCCATTCTGATGCTTAAATACCCTGCAGCTAATTTAAAGTCAGGGAAGGACAGAATCTCTGTTGTTTCCACTCTTCCATGTTTCTGGAATGTACTATCACATAGAAAAGCATGAAACCTTAGCATAGTCCGAAAACAAGGAGGGCAAATTCTCTCCCAACTTTTCAGACTACCATTCTTAAATAAGATGCCTTACCCACTGAAAAGGGCATGAATGCTTCTCTCTTGACAAACTTTCCCTTGGAGTTGAGGAAATGCTCAGGATTAAATGTGTGTGGCTTTTCCCATTGTGTTGGATCCTGAAGTACTGAAGTCAGCAAAGTGATGACCTCTGTGCCCTAGAAATAAAAATGCTTTAATTGAAAGAGATTAAATTCCTTCCTGAAAAGTGACTCTCAAAAGGTGTATCAGGATCTCAGTTGGCAATTTCTCAGATGCAGTGTGTTCTGGAAGGAAATGGAAGAGGGAGAAGTGGAGAAGCATCAGGCAGGGCCCATATGAAATGTTTATTTACTCACCAAAATTTTATTGACTACCTCCCTAAAAATTAAAGCTTTGGAAGAGAACTGGAAACAAACTCTTATTTAGCATGTAGTTGCTATTTGATCACAGCATGTTATATAACATGCTGTGCGATGGGAATTAAACAGTCCTCATTTGGGATTGTGAACCTTAGATGAACCTTTCAAGGAACCTGACTGAGTTCCTGGCAGGTTTGGGGTCTCAGTGAAGGTTTGCTCTCTTATCCTCAGGGACTATGAGAGTGAATGCTAAATCAAACAAGCCCATCAAAACATCTTCTCAAAATTGAGCTTCCTGGCTTCCATAGCTTGCCACATGCTGTAAAATAACTTTCTACAGAAAAAAAGGAAGCAATTTTAATTGTGACACAGGAAAGGATAATCTGAGAACTAAAATAAATAAAGTGAAATAATGTTAAAAACAAAACCCTGGACTGGGGATATAGCTCAGTGGTACAATGTTTGCCTATTACATGAGACCTTGGGTTCAGCTCCTCTCCCAACCCTGCCCCCAAGCCTTCCCCAAGTTATGGACACTAATCACTACTTCATCTTGCCAGCTATATCAAAGGCTTTGTAATACCTATTTACCATCTTCTGCTGGGTAATACCTTCTTATCTTCTTCTAATTAGCTGTTTTATCATGTGATATCTGTATATTTGAATCACAAACAGCTAACAATTTCTTTAAAATATTTTTGTTTTATAATTTTTCCTCCTCATCCTATTCATCCATCCATCCATCCATCCATCCATCCATCCATGCATTCATGTATGATTAGATATACCTGGGCATTGTACACTGACTTTCTTTTCCTATAATGACTATGTTATTTCCATTTCACCAAAGAGATGATTGGGACTTGTTGAGACTAAGTGACCTAACACCTGGTGGCATGATAGGTCACTGTATAACTGTAAAACCCTTTTAAATACAATACTTTATCAGTGAGATCTCTATATAACTTCAAAACCTTTTAAAATTAATATACACACACATACATATACATATATATTTATTTTTTTGTACTTGGAATTGAACTCAGGGGTACTCAACCACTGAGCCACACCCTCAGCCCTATTTTGTATTTTATTTAGAGACAGGGTCTCACTGAGTTGCTTAGTGCCTCGAAGTTTCTGAGGCTGGCTTTGAACTCACGATTCTCCTGTCTCAGCCTCCAAAGTCACTGGGATTATAGGCATGTGCCAAGGCACCTGGCTTAAATACATTATTTAATACAATATTTTATTTCTAGCCATCTACCTTGGGCTTGCAGCAAATAAATTAGAAATAAGTTAATAAGTTCCCATCTCTATTAACTGAAACATAAACATGGCCTTTATTTCCCGATGTGCAGACATCTAGATGTATCCCTGACTTCTACTAGTAAGCTGAGGAAAAAAAAAATACACACACACACACACACACACACACACACACACACACACAGCCCTAGTTCTTTTCCTTGATACTGAATCTGTTCACTGCTTCTGGGTCCATCTCTACATGAATCAACAGGGTCATTCACTGTTTTTTTTGTTCATATTTTGGGTCATGTTAACTTTTTATTTTTTTAACATTTGCTGTGGTTTGAATGTGGGTAGTATCTCCCAAATGTCTACCTTCAGTGCTCAGTCCCCAAGGTGGTGCTATGGTGAAGTGGTGGAACATCTAGGAAATGGAGCCTAGAGAGAGGTTGTTAGGTCTCTGGGGACATTCCCTCAAAGGGGATTTGGGAGACCCTGGTCTTTCTCTATTTCTGGCTTGAGGTGTAACTGCTTGCTCCCATAAGCACTCCTTTTAGCACCAGAGGTCTAAACCAATGGGACTGACTGATCTTGGACTTGAACTACCAAAAGATAAACCATTTATCTTCTAAGTTAATTTGTTGTCTCAGTGATTTTAGTGAGATAAATTGAGATGACTGACACAACATTGTATTTGGTTTTCTATTTCATTGCTCATCTGGTTAATTCAGCCCTACCTTGTGTTTAATGTGTACCAAGAAGTGAAGCTCCACAGATGAACATGTCTCCTGGTTCACAGGTGATTGAAGGATAGGAAGTGATAATAATGTGGTCAGGGTTCACATTCCCAGTGACTCGGTGGATTCATGTAGAAATGGGCCCAGAAGCAGTGAACAGACTAGATATCAAGGAAAAGAGCTAGTGCTACGTGCATATACATATTTCCCCAGCTTACCATGGAATTTAGAGGGTTACATCTAGATGTTTTCACATTGGGAAGCAGAGGGCATAAATATGCATGGTTCTGTGTGAGGACAGAAGTGAAGCATGGAGGTGCTGCTGGAGAGAGGCCTGCATGGCAGAAGCACAGGGCTCTGAAAGTCACAGCTTACTTGGAATTTTGGCTGCCTTGCAGACAAACCTGTCATTCCTGAAACGGCTTAACGTCTCTGAGCCCTATTTTTCTCAACTATAACCTGAAATATCTTACAAAGTTTCAGAGAATGATTGTCATCTATATTATTACACATATATGCATAGATCCATTTTTGTTGAATGGTGAGGAAGGAGGGAGGCAGAGCCAGAAGGAAAGTGGAAGGAAAGATACCAAGGGGCGAGGAAGGCAGGAAAGGCAAGCTAGGATTGTCTTTGCCAGTTTATCTCAGCGCATCTGTGGCTGCAACCATCTGACGCCTCTTTCCCTTCACCTTCCTTTCTTGAGCCCTTACCTTCGGGATATAGTAATTTTTAAATGTAACGTTTGTGGTTGTCGCATGGGGTAAGCTTGTGGGCAGAATGTTAGCAAATCGCTGTACTTCATGAATGACAGCATCTGTGTACGGCATTTGAGTACGGTGTGCAATGCGGGGCTGGGCCAGTCCCACAACTTTGGTGATCTCATCACAGACTTTTTCTGGACAAAATGAAAGTACAGAGATTAATGTCTGGGCTGGGCATGGGTGTTGAAACACTCTTCCTCATTTTCTTTACTTGTGAAAGTCAAACCCAAGTGTTTTCCCAGTCTTGGCTCTTTTTCCTGCATTTCTCCCTACCTCCTCAGTCTCTATTCCTGGGGATCCTCTGAAAAGTTTATATCATAGAATCTTTAGATCATCTTAGGATGCTTAATAAGCAAAACAAACTTCCTCATACTGAAAGGAATCTGAAAATACAAATTAGCCTCAAGGGGACAAATTACATGTATCCAGCATGGCTATAGAACTCCGAATTGTCCTGTCCAAGACAATTTTGCTTTCTCTTTTTCAGGTGATGCTTAGTCTTGAAAACTTACTCTGAACCTCAGGGTATCGCATCATGAGCAGGATTCCCCAGCGCAGTGTGGAGACTGTGGTCTCTGTACCTGCTGCAAACAGATTACTAACAAGTGCCACCAAATTTTCATCACTGAAATAATCAGCAGATGCATCTTTCTCCTAAAAGTGTAAAAGGAATCATTAGCAATGAAATAATTTTGTAATGGGTGATCATAACAAATTACCTACTATGACTTCATAAAATCAATGCATTGCTTTCTTCCCTCAATTTAGAGGAATTTTCTTTATACAAATGTAGAGAATTTTAGGAGACAAAGTATATATATCATGAATGTTGATAATGGTAAATAATTCTAAAAACGAGAAAGAGTGTTTGCCATTGTAGGAAAGTTGCAGACTAGTTCTTTACTGAGTGATTGGACTATTTCCAGAGCTGTTTCTTTTAAGAAATTTTTAAATAAAATTATCTTTCTTAGTCAGTGTGGTGGCTCACACCTGTAATCTCAGCAACTCAGGAGGCTAAAGCAGAAGGATTGCAAGTTTGAGGCCAGCTTCAGCAAATTAGTAAAACTCTCAGCAACTTAGGGTGACCCTGTTTCAAAACTAAAGGACTGGGGATGTAACTCAATGATAGAACATCACTGGGTTAAATCTCCAGTAATTACCCCCCACCCCATGCATACAAAAAATTCTTGGGTTTGGCCATTAAAACACATTTCTCAAGATCGTGGAGTGGTGTGTGGGGGGGGTGGTGGGTTGGGGGGGGATAACAATTCCAAAAACTAACATGTGAGAAATCTATGTCTTTTATGATATAAAAGTGTCAGAAAGTATTCAAGAATGTAAAATGGAATAAATAGCATTATTCTGAGAATATAAGTTTACCATTATTTATTTAAACTTCTATCTTTCTTCTTTGAATAGAGTGTTTCTCCTCCAGAGCTAAATAATAAATAAAAAGGTAAGGAAGCCTCTGAAGAAAACATCATTACCTCTTGCTGTCTGACCAAAAAAGCATCAATGAAACTTCTTGGATCATTTTTGTCGAATTTATGACGATGATCGAGGAAGGTCTTTCTTATAAAAGAAAATAATTCATCTCTATTCTTGAGTACTGTCTTATGACTTCTTAGGAGAAATCCCAAAACAGGAAACATATTAAAAATCTAGAAGAATTTTTTAAAAAGTAAATTAAAATATACCTATGAATTGATTGTGGTAATGCAAATGGCAACATTATTTTTGAAAGCATTACAGAAATAACACCTTGAATTTTGTCTCAACCAACAGTGACAGACTGAACTAGAAAATGAGATTTCCACATTCATCAGAACTAAGGAATCTATAATGAATATCAATATAGCTTACAAGTCTATGTGCCCAGAGTATTTTGTATATCATTTCTATGGGAGTAGGTCTAGTTAGAGGTTGAGTGGGACATAAAAACACTATTGGCTTTTTGGTCAGAGCTATAAACCCAAGTGTTTTTCTCAAAAAATCCCATGTAATTCCAGAAAAACAATCAAACTCTTTTAGCTCTACATAAGGCAGTAAAGCTTTTCTGTGGGATCACAATAATTTTTAAGTTTATAGCAGATTTAATGTCTGTAGGTCTTACAGAGTAGCACCCTTTAGTCTGTTACCCACTAACTCTTAAAAAATTCAGAAAGGACTGAACTGTTTGCTAAGTTTTATGTTTGTTAGTATGTTAATTTTGTGGATATAAGGTCTATATACTTTGTCATATTCTCAAAGGGGTTTATGAGTCCTCCCCCCAAAACTTTCCTTATATAAGAGACAAAAGGTCCCATCTAAAATTAGAACAGTTGCTTCTTCTAAAAATCTGTATTTGAAGTAAATCTGGGTATATATTAACACAGCCTAAATTTCAGAGTGAAATAATAGTGTTGTCAATGGTGCTATTAAAAATGAGAACTTTTGGACAAGCCTCTTTCCCCCTGGATCCTAGAATGCAGAGGCTTTGTCACTCATAATGATAAGAAATTAGATTGTGGCACTATTGTGAATTTGTGAATTTGTATGGATTAGAATAAGTATTAAGATTATATTCTGGGGACTGGGATTGTGGCTCAGTGGTAGAGTGCTTGTCCAGTACATTTTTTGAGGTGCTGGGTTCTATCCTTAGCACCACATAAAAATAAATAAATAAAATAAAAGGTATTGTTTAAAAGAAAAGATTGTATTCTGCCATTTGTGGGTCTTTTTTTGGGGGGGAGGGTAATTGGTAGTTCTCTTTGTTAAAATTTATTCTTCTAATTGAGCATTACTGACTGTTTATTTACTCAATGCTTATTTCATTTTCCATATATATGTACTGCTATAGGTAAAATAAAAGTGGCTAAAATTAGAAGAAAGCATGTAATACTGGCCGAAATCACAATTCCTGCACCAAGGTATTTCATGCAGCATTTGATGATAGGAGAATTATCATATGTATAAACAAACAAATATGTCATATCACTGTACTCAGAACATTTCAGAAGGTATCTACTTTGGAAATGACAGTTCTCTAATGAATCCTTTTTGTGGTCAATCAAGTATTTCTCAGAGGAGCTAAAAGTGAATGGGAAAGATACAGTTACCACAATTCTAGGACTTCCAACAAGTTTCACATTTTCACCAATCAAGGTTAAGAGTCTCAGGAACTGGGGGTCTTGGTATTCAAACCGTTTTCCAAACAGCACTGACACAATGATGTTAGCAACAGAAGCGTTCATTACTGTTGTGATCTCAAATGGATTTCCTACAAGACAATTCATTAATCAGATAAGGAATATTCACAAAATCAGTGTTAGGCAAGTTCCTCACTGACTGGGACAGTCTATGAAAGAAAAAACATCATAGAGATTATTAGTGACCATAACTTCCAAGTCTTCCAATAAAATTTGAATGAGCTTTTACAAATTCCCAGAATTTGTCTAAACAGTAGCTACCTAGAAAACTATATGTAAAAGAAAATTTGCATTTGGCTCAATTGAAGAAAGAAAAATAAGCCAGGTATGTTTAAATATTTGTCTCTGTGGGTGTGTGCTGTGGGGTGTGTGTTAATGCATTCTATCTAGGGGAAAAAAAAATCATTCAACCTAAAGCTGCATTCAAGTTAAAAATAGAACATCTAGCCATGTTGGGGTGGTACACACCTCTAATTTCAGTTAGGCTGAGGCAGGAGGACTACACATTTGAGGTCAAACTTAGCAATTTAGCAAGGCCCTGAAGCAACGTGGGGAGACCTTGTCTCAAAATATAAATTAAAAAGGGCTAGGAATGTAGCTCAGTGGCAATGTGCCCTGGGTTCAATCTGCAGTGCAAAAAAAAAAAAAAATGAGAGAGAGAACATCAGGTGAGTCTTGAGAGGCTGAGACATGAGATTGATTGCAAGTTCAAAGCCAGTCTCAGCAAAAAAGTGAGGTGCCAAGCAAGTCAGTGAGACTTTGTCTTTAAATAAAGCACAAAAGGAATTGGGGATGTGCCTCAGTGGTTAAGCATTCCTAGGTTCAATCCCTGATACCAAAAAAAAAGGACTTCATGGGGGCGGTTCCTTGTTTTCCTCCCTTCTGCTGCTGCATCCTGGTTTTCTCTGCATCGTTCGTTGAAAGTAGCTTAGTTATTAAACATTCACCAATAGATGGGCATTTATTTTGAGTATTCTAGTTCTAAAGTTTTACTCTTAAGTCAGCTACTATCTTTAATGCAGAGACTGAAAGCCTAGGGAATCCAAATGAAAATGTCTTTTCTTTTACTTGAGAAATGGGAAAGTGGAAAGGGGAGTGAATGGGCCCTTTTTCATTTACTTTAAACAGCATGGCTGACACATCTACACCAGGAGACAAGGTAACAAGAACTTCATAACTGTGTTTGATCGTAGCTTCATATGACACCATAGCCTTCAGATTGAAGACCCAGAGACATGGTGTGCACAATCCATTTTTATGCTTCAGTCTAATTAAGTGTGGACCATTATATAAGAATATGATTGGGTAAAAAACTGTATGATCTAATGCTAATAGATTTTGGGAAAACATTAGTTCAGATTCATCTTTTTTTTTTTTTTAAGAGATAGTGAAAGACAGAGAGAAAGAGAGAGAGAGAGAGAGAGAGAATTTTTTAATATTTATTTTTTAGTTTTCAGCAGGCACAACATCTTTTGTTTGTATGTGGTGCTGAGGATCAAACCCGGGCCCCACGCATGCCAGGCGAGCTACCGCTTCAGCCACATCCCCAGCCCTCAGATTCATCTTGATCTCTCTGTGGCTCCTTCCTTCTTTTGGATAGTGAGTAGAACCCCTTCAGAAGTGAGGGCCATAGGAACTAATATGGGACAGAGTAGGTCAGAGAATTTATTTATAGCTGACCGGTTCTATGACAGAGAGGTGGGGAAAGGTTAGAATATCATTACTAGGTTTTATGGTTTGCTTGAGCAAAACAAATTATTAAAGGAAGAGAAATTCTAGTTTCTATGACTTGCCTTCAGACAGAAGCAGAAAAGGGAGCAGGAGACAGGAAAACAGTTCAGAGAAAAACCTTGTTTCTGAGATTGTTTTCTGGGCCCTAAAAGGGAATACCTTTTCTTCTTCCACACAAAATAAACACACTTGGAGGATGTGTACACAAAACTCAGGTAGTTGTGTTTTGGGAGCTTAACACTGGGGAATCAATAGTCACTTTTGTATGCATAATTTCCCCAAATTGCTAAGATAGTATCTCTGACTGACAAGTACTGCTAATTTAGCACATGGGTCCTTGAGCCCTCTGTTATCTACCTTTGATCATTGTCTTCATGAGTTCTTACATCAATCGAATAATACCAACTTTCTCCTTTTAGTAAGGAATGAGTTCATTTTAATAAGGAAATGAGGAAAACTCTTGACACAAAAATGAGATTTTTTTGATTATTCTTCCCACATATTTACAAAAATTATGTGAAATCAATTCTAATTCATTATGTGAATCGATCGGAAACAACTTCATTACTGAGAAACTGTTCTGGATTAAAGGAAGCAGAAGAAACATGACATCTCAATGAAATTCCTGAGTGAGGATTTTCCTTGGCTATAAAGGACATTGCTGGGATAATGACAAAATTGTCCTGAAGTCTGAAGATTAGATGATACTATCACATCATGTAAATTTCACGATTTTTGATGTTTACTGTGGTTAAGACAGTGTTACTATTGAAAATTTAAAAATGAAGGGACAGCATGTCTGCAAAAACTCTCAGTCAAGAAAAAATATAATTTTATACTTTATGTATAAATAAATTTAAATATATAATGTGCACACACATGCATACAGAGCAAGAGGGCACAAGCAAATGTACAGTGTTGACAATCTTCAAGAAGAGTAGAAGGTACTGGGAATGATTTGTATATTCTTTAAACTTTTCTAAGAGTCTGAAATTGTGTCAAAAATAAGAGATTGAAAGATAACTTTTGTTGACTTCTTTCTCATGAAAAATAAAGAGATTTCATTTGTTCTACACACCTCTGTGAGCCTCAAAGTTCTTTATGAGATGCTGGCATTCCTCTATAATTATGTCTTCTATGATCTGCTTGCCCATTCCAAAATTCCGTAATGTGGTCAAGCTGAATCTTCTCATGATTTTCCAGGTTTCACCATGAGAGAAGGCAATTCCTTATAATGAGGAAAAAAAAATCTTCAGATTAAATTTTTTTTAATTTAATTTTTTTCGGTGGGTGGGGCATCAGGGTTGAACTCAGAGGCGTTTTAACCACTGAGCCACATTCTCAGCCCTTTTTGTTTTATATTTTATTTACAGACAGTGGCTCACTGAGTTGGTTGGGACCTCTCTAAGTTGCTGAGGCTGGCTTTGAGCTTATGATCCTCCTGCCTCAGCCTCCAGAGCTGCTGGGATTACAGGCATATGCTACCATATCTGGCTTAAAATTGAAATCTTGAAGACAAATAAAAATTCAAAATAAAAGTCTTGATTCTCCCTGTCAAAAATAATGGAAAAATGGATGTAGGATATAGCTCAGTAGTAGAATGCTTGCCTAAGATAAGCCAGGTATTGATTTAAGTCCCCAGCACGTAAAGAGAGGAGAATAGAAAAGAGGAGAGGGCAGGGTAGAGGAGAGGGCAGGGTGGGGGGAGAAAAAATGTCTAATTCCCTCTTTTTTCTTAGAGCATTTACTGTATAAAACTTTTTAACTACTTTCTCTGTCCATAAAGTCTTTTTGAAAACTAGATAGGTCTTTTGTCAGCCTTGAGACCCAGGAATGTCTTTCTTAAGAACCCAGGAGTCATCTCTTTGAAATGTAGACCTCAGGGGAAATTACGTCCTATCACTCAGTTTCTGTGTGAAGATAGGAGTCTAATTTCAGAGGGCACTTGCTCCACATTGCAGAACTGTCATAAATATTTTGGGAATTATTTTTTTTCCTTTGAAACTTAATTAACACAGATGGCCACTTGAATTACCAGGTGAATCAAGGATAAACTATGTGCAACAAATAGTGCTGTTAAATCCGCTTGCTTGAGGACTAGTTATTGTTTATCCTGAGAATGGGTATGTAATGAAGTTCCTTCTGCTGGACTATGCAAAAGGCTGAAGTTCCTTTCTATTTTTGTAGTTTTTTTTTTTTTTTTTACCAGATTGTAATACACATTATTCTGGTTTGATGCTTATTCAATAATAAAGTGTTTTCTTTGCCTCAGCTTCATGAAATAGATTTCTAGATTGGGAAAACATTTTGTTTTATTTTAAATTATATCTCCTCAACAAATTAAATAGGCAATTATTCAAATAAATTGAGTAACTAGTTTATACTTATATCATGCTGGATGTGGTTAAGGAGTTGATGAATAATAGTAAATAAAGTTTTTTTCCCTTTTTTTCTTTGCCAGGGAGTAATAGAGTCTAGTACATACAACACCACCCAAGTAAAAATTTAGAAATAAATAATCACCAATGACTGTAATCAAGTAATTAAGTGTTATACCTAGTTATTCTGGAGACACATATTTTAACACATAAGTTCTCAATAAATTTATTGATTGAGTAAACAAATTTCTATATAACTACACAAAATAATAATCATCAGTCAAGATAAGTTTTCTAAAGGATTTAGAGCATATGCTCATACTTTATAGAAAAATCAGGAAAAAGATGATTTCTAAGGTTGCCCACATCTTTCCAGTGGTGCTTTTTGGTGATAATGGTATTTTCTTTCTGTTTCAATTCTTTACACCAAAACCTTCCTCCATTTGCATTTTCCATATTATACAAAGGCAAAAGAGACGGGGGGAATTTCTATGTTTAATTGATAATCATAAATACAAACCTAGAATATACTAAGCCAGCCTAGGCATTGAAGATGGGGCAGTATCAGCCTTGCTAGTCTTAACATGAAATCTAAAATAAAGAATAGGTATTTTCAGAGTTACTATTGCCACCTCCTTTCAGGTTAGGTCTTCCTTTGGAAGGATACTAGTGAAGGATTAGATTCTCTTCTCACTAAATCCTCAGATTAATACAATGATATTCTGCCTGTGGTTCCTATATTACACAAGACTCATTCATAAAATATGTGACTCTTCAGACTATCCCATTTTATGTTTGAAATTTCACATTTCACATTTCAGAATACAGTATTTGACCCTTAAGGACTCACAGAAGTCACTATATTTCAGAGAATAAAATATTCGTGTAATCGTAAAGAATATCATTATCATTATTATTGTTGTTATGTTGTTGTTCTGGGGATCAAAACCAGGGCCTATCACATGCTATGCAAGCACTCTACCACAAAGTTATGTTTATCAGCTCCTTAGCACATTAGTTTAGGACCTTGAAAGATTGAAGTGCTATTAAATATATAAATATAAATTTTAAGTATAGGACACTCTAGCCCTAAATATATTTAAATTATACAACAAGTTAATGTAATAAATATCCCCAAATGGTCTAATGGGTATCAAACATAAAATTATCTTTTGGTTATGCAAAATTGGTCTCTAACATGCTTATACTCATTTGAATGATTTTAGATTGCGAGACACAGGAAGAGGAAATATAGTCATTATCTTTTGATTTTCTATGACAAGTTAAGACACTTAAAAAAACAAACAAACTGATTTTTGGCTGGCCATTGTGTCACATGCTTGTACTTCCAGCAACTCAGGAACCTGAGGCAGGAGAATTGCAAGTTTGAGCCCAGGCTAGGCTGTTTAGCAAGACCCTGCCTCAAAATTAAAAAATAAGAATGGGGCTGGGGATGTAGCTCTGTGGCAGTGTGTCCCTCAAAAAAAAAATTCTTAAAATGAATTCTTGGCTCACTTGTTAGATTGCGAGAGATAAAAGTTAAGTCGAACATGGTGGCACATGCCTATAATCCCACCAGTTTGGGAGGCTGAGGCAGGAGGATAGCAAGTTCAAAGCCAGCCTCAGAAATTTTGGGAGTCCCTAAGCAATTCAGGGTGACTCTATCTCTAATAAATCATTAAAATGGGCTGAGAATGTGGCTCACTGGTTAATTACCCCTGGGTTCAATCCCTGGTACAAAAAAAAAACAAAAACAAAAACAATTTCATGTGTGATCATTACATTCATCAGCAAATTTGAGCTCTTGTGGAAAAAGATTAGCGGCAAGAAGTAAGAAATTGTATCAATTTTCTAAAAAAAAAAATTATGATGATGACTCATCTGACTCCTAGAAATTCCAGACATGGGATCTTGAATGGAAAATACCTCCTCAATGCTGATTTCATGAAGTGTTAGTGGGGATTAGAAGGGAAAGAAATGTTCCAAGACTACTATGTGTGGAAAATTGAATAAAGTTAGATAGGATTTTGATGTTTCCTGAGGTTTTAATATGCTAATGGACACGCAAGAGACTGATTTACCTCAGGGAACATCCACTTACACCTTGCAAAACTACTGTTTTGTGGACAACATTACAGAAAACACTTTTTAGAAATGTTTTTGAAGCAATAGAATAACCTAATGGTATTAACTAGGAGACAATATGAGTTTACTATAAATAATGTCAAAGTGAAATTATTTCCATTTTTAAAGAGTTATTAATTAGTAGCCGGGCACGGTGGACCATACCTGTAGTCTCAGCAACTCAGGAGGCTGAGGCAGGAACATTGCAAGTTCGAGGCCAGCTCTGTCAACTAAACAAGGCCCTATCTCAAAAAATATAAAAAGGACTGGGGATGTAGCCCAGTGGTAAAGTACCCCTGGGTTCAATCTCTAGTACCAAAATAGTAATAATAGTAATAATACCTATTAATTAGTGGAAAGTCACAAAAGCAGAGTATCTATGTTGCATCAGGGCATTTAGCAAAGACATAAGAAAGATGCAACAATTTTGTCCAGGTAAAAATAGGGTTCTGTATATTTATAACACTAAGTATGTTGTTTCAGGATCTATTTCTGCATTAGACCATTTTTGATCTCTTTATATTGATGGCCTCTGCCTCCTTTTGTTTTATTTTCCTGACATCTAACATCAGACTTTCCATTTAGTAGGTGATTATTTAACAGAAGTAGTTATCATGTAAAATAAGAATGAAGCCCACAAATTACTACTTTTTTAATTAGAATCCTATTTGTGTAATATATATTGATGAAGCAAAATCAAACAAAGGAAGGAATTATGTAAGAAAATAGAGGACTACTGATTTAATAATTTTAACCACAGGAATATATCTTAAATTTAGAGTTCATTACCTTTTCCATTAAAAATTCTTTCAAATATAGGCACTTGAGATCGTTCCCCAAATTGATTGCCATAACCAACGAGAGCCTCTTTCACTGTCTCATAGCCAGAGAGGACCACCACCTTCTTGGGCCCCATTTGGATGCTGTAAATGGAGCCATATTTCTGGGAAAGCTTTGGTGTGAGAAAAAGAAAAATGATTAAAACATTGTACTGTGGTAAAAAGTGAACTGGATCTTGACCTTTGGGAAATTGGTTAAGTTCAAAAAACTAACCAGTTTTGTGATCAGATAAAGTCAGAATTTTGGATTGTTTTACTATGGATATTCTTGCAGTTATTACACCATTCAGGGTCATTTTTATAATCATCGTTTGATTGTATACTCACTCTGCTTTGTTTCAAATTTTGAACTAATGAGGCTCTGACATTATAGTTTTGTTTGATATCAGAATATACCCAGCCAGGACTCTCAGGAGACAAAAATTTGCTTACTACCACATTTGACACCCGAAAACTATATTTACATCCTATTCCTATGGGGTGCTATGATCTTAATAGACCATGTTGTTACTCTGTGACATTGCTTACTACAGAAAAAAATCCATTTTCTTTGATAATTGGAAGTCCTAAGAGCCAACATTTATTGCCTCCTGACTGTATTCCAAGCACCATTATTTTCTTCAGTGTGCTTCATTGGTGAAGGCCTTCCTGTACCCATTGTCTGACAGGGTCACAGAGTAGGCATGCTGTGCCAGGGCCAATCCATCTGGAAACCAGAACCACTGGGAATGTTAAGTGTTTTGTTTATGATACTCATGATATGAATAACAGGGCATACGTCAATCAGTAATAAAAGTACATATTGCCTGAGATTGCAGGAAAATTCCCAGAATGAGACTAAGGATATAATTGAGATATGCCATGAGGTGTGTTTCAATCTCTCTCAGGATACAAACAATAATCTTATTCCTCAAGCCTAAAAACAAGAAATATTTATCCCATGGTTAACAATTTATACTACCCCCTCAACCCCGTCCTGAAGCCACAACCTATACAACAGCCTACCTATAGAAAAACAATTGCTGTGCCAACAGTGCAAGGACCACCGGTAAGTAGCTTATGGTATCCCCATCAAGGATAAGAGGCTAATAAAAATACATTCCTCCCACCAACAGATCCTCCTTTACCTTACACAGAAATTTATGATGAAATGGTTAATATAAATGACAAATGGGTTGAGGTGTAAAGCCTGCCCTTTAGTTAAAGATTACAAAGACATAAGAATTGGTGTGCTTTGTCCAAGGATCAAGGAAATGCTGTAAGAAAGCAGTTAAATTGGTCCTATGAAAAAAGGAAATTACCTTGGAAATTAAAAATAAAATAATGTAGAATTAACATAGATGTAGTTTAGAGGCACTTCAGAGTAGCAGGCTTTTAAATAATAGACTTTCACTACTTTAAGTGTGTTTTAATGGGATTTTAGTTTAGAAGTAAGAAAGCTTACCATTAATCATAAGTATGCTTTAAAGTTAAAGGTTAATGAAATAATTATAGGTATGCTTTAAAGTTAGAAGTGAATAATAGGTCAGGAGACATGTAGTATAATTGTGTCGCCTAGCACCTAGTGTTTGACATGAAAACATAAAAGCTTAATCATGACTGATTAAAGTTACAGAAAATTATTATTTTGAACAATGTACTCAATATCTTAGGTAATCAATGTATCCCAGAAAATATTGTAACTCTTGAAATTTATATAAATCAAAGAAGTTTCGGGCTTTGAAGGCATCCATTAACTATCTGAAAAAACACCTGTAAAAAAGGTATAAAAATAAAGGTCTCTCTAGGGGAAGCAAGATTTCTTCTGGAGGCTGCTTGTTACTTGCAACCTGTGATCTCAACTCTTCTTCTTTTGTTGATGCCACTCCTCCTTAAGGACCCCTGGAATCCCCACTCCCCCCCCTCACCCCTCGGGGCTGGACCCCAGGACTTTATAAAACAGCAAAGTAGATATTATCACCTCCATTGTATAGGCAAGGAATTGTAACTTTAAGAAATCACAGAGTAAATAGTGCTGTTCAGCTGTGGAGCTGGGGACACACATTGTTGTAGTTTCTTGGCTATGGAACCTGTGGTATTAACCCAACTAACATTGGCAGAGAATGAGATGACAACTTTAAATGCTCCTTTCCTCATAAAAATTGTCCTTAGGAAAAACATTAGATTCCTTCTGCCTCCTCTTTGAATTGTCAGAAAAATGTGTAAAACCATTTCCTACCAGTGTCAGACAGAGGGTCGGCAGATATCACTCTCACTTATATTTGGGGATGCCACAGTACACAAGGTCTCCATGTATTTTTTTTTTAATAATAAACCAATAGCTGTACTTTGAGAAATGACAAATTAATTTTTGTAGAATTTTTTGGAGTTAACTTCACTGACTCCAGAAGCCCGGGCTACATGACTATGATTCTTATGATCTTAAAATCAAGGGTAATCAAACTATTTTTTACATTTTTAAATACTTGAATATGACACTTCAAGTTTGAAATTTCATTGTCCTTTTAGAACATAGTCACAAAACTAATCTGGTCAATCATTTTGCCGAGGTTCTTGTGTGTGCGTGTGTGAACAGAATGGTAATATTTAATTGCTTTATGAACCATTGAATTTTTGGATGGTTAGTTTTTTAATTGGCGTGAGACAATTCCTACTTGTCAAATCAACTTACCTTAACCAATCCTTTGAAAAAGTCAAGTGTATGAACCTGCGCTAACTCCCCAGAGGGCCACATTAAGCCAAAATAATGCCCTATTGGGTGAGATATCCTGCAAAGTGTTTGCTATTTTCACGAACATAAAACAATGCTCATGTTATTAATATCTGTTATTTCTGGACAAGTCATGTTTTGTGCTGTCATCTGAACTCTAGAGAAGCAGTGTAAGAGGGAACTTGGCACCAAGTGCAAGTGCATTTTGGCCAAAGTGTGGTCTGATGGAAGGTCATATGACACAAGAAGTTCCAGAAAAGTGAGAGATTCTGCTTCAGCATGAGTGGAGGGTTGGAGATACAGGAAACACTCTGCTCTACATGAGTGCTTAATAATGTCTGTGTAGGAAATTCCATTTTATCTTTAAACACCCAGGAAGACTCAGTGGCCAGCCTAGGCTGACCATGTATTCACTAAGCACAAGAAGAATTTTTTCAACCACAGAGTTCTGTGCCTCTCAAAGAAATGCCCTCCAGCTGAGGGCATTTGTGCCTCTCAAAGAAATGCCCTCCAGGTGGGCAAGTGGCACATGCCTGAAGGAGGCTGAGGAGGGGAGGCTGAGGAGGGGAGGCTGAGGCAGGAGGATTCAAGTTCAAAACCAGCTTCAGCAACTTAGAGAGGCCCTAAGCAACTTACTGAGACCCTATCTCAAAATAAAAATATAAAAATGACTGTGGGGATACGGCTCAGTGTTAAAGCACTGCTGAATTCTATCCCCAGTAACCAGGGGTTGGGGGGAGGTAGAAAGAAAGAAAGAAAGAAACGCCCTCCAAGTTTGTTATGGTTCCTAGTCCTGTAACTTGTGACATCAAAGCCACTTCCTGAAACTGTAAAAGTACTGCCAAAATAAATGAATATTTTCTCCCCTTCTAATAAATAACAAAAAGACAGTGTTTATATTTGACACTTGTGCATTGGATTCTTCTTTCGAATGAAAGGGTTTGATGTGATTCTTGATGGAGTGTGTGCTGTTTTTCATGAACTGTAATTATGGTCCCCAGTTCACTGTGGTAAGTGAGAAGAATTTTTTAAAGAAAATTTTTTCAATAAAATACAGAAAAATGGTCAAGCAATGAAAAGGCACCAGAGTGCATACCTCTAATCTCAGTGATTCAGGAGGCTGAGGCAGGGAGATTGCAAGTTCTAGGCTAGTCTCAGCAACTTAGGTAAAGTAAAAAATAAAACCAAAGTAAAACATTAAAGTAAAATCAAAAAATAAAAAAAGCATAAAAAGTAAAAAGGACTGGGAATGTAGCTTAATGGTTAAGTGCCCCTAAATTGAATCCCCAGTATCATAAAATTTAAAAGAAAACTTAAAAAAAAGAAGAAGAAATCCATTAGAATTGCAAAAGAAATTGCAGAAGGGCTCAGTGATGTAGGAAATTAATATAATTAAGATTAGTATTCTAGGGAGTGAAAATTGAAATGGGAATTTGATGTGGTGAGGACAGTCTGTTAGGAACCTTGGTATGTAAGGTGATGTAGCAGGAGTGGGGCAAATAAAACAATTCTGAGAGGGAAATTTTATGAAAAAAAATCATAGAATTTGGGGAAAAAGGGAAGAAAGGATATTTTACAGATGGAATTAATTCAGAACAATGTAGAAAGGTAAAAATGAAAGACTAAATCATAAATTAGGCTGGTGAAAATGTAAGTGAAGGACAGAAATGGTGTGGGAATCAACAAATGAGTTTGGAGCACAGGGACTTAGATGAAGGATTTATTGAAGGAAGGCCATTTTTTTTTTCCTGAAGAATGAACCTGTTTTGTTACCTTAGGATGTTAGAGAAAGAACCACACATATCTGTAAAATGAAGATGAAAACTTCACCCCTCTTTTCTTCTGGGATGATTGTGAGGATTAAGTGTAATTCTTACAGTGCTTTAATAAACAAAATGAAACACAAATATAGGTATTTTTATTATACCCACTGAGATAAAATAATGATTTTCCCTTCAGTAAATTCCCCTTAAGATTTTATACTGAAAAGTTATAGAATACAGCAGTACTTGACTTCAGTTATATGCTCTTTGGAACTTAAAATTTATAACTAAATGCCAACTTTGAGTCTTTGTATTACCTATGTAGCTCCATAATCAATAGCTATAGAATCATAGTGGAAAATTAGAGTTCTAGTACTTTGTCCAGCCCTATAAATTTACAGATGAGGAAACAAAGACACTGGCTAATTCACACAGCAAATTAATGGCATATCCAGAACTAAATTTTGGGGGACACAATCTTAATTGTAATTTTTTTTTAAAGAGAGAGGAGAGAGAATTTTTTAAATATTTATTTCTTTTTAGTTATTGGCGGACACAACATCTTTGTTTGTACGTGGTGGTGAGGATTGAACCCGGGGCGCACGCATGCCAGGCGAGCACACTACCGCTTGAGCCACATCCCCAGCCCCTTGATTGTAATTTTTGTACAATGTTTTGAGTAGTTAAATTGAAGACTCTAGAGTAAGACTATTACTACAAATTCAATTCTTTTTTAGCAGATTATATGTGAAAATGCAAGTACAAGTTTAAAATAATTTAGTGTTAAAATACTGCTTTCAAAATAGAAGTATTTGTGATAATTTTTAACATATGTTCAATTTAAAGCAGCTCTGTTAATTTCGAATACTACCTAAATTCCCTCCCAATACATATAGGAACCGATGTTAATATGCATACTAATAAACATACTAGGGCAAGACTGATTTAGAAATTATAAATAAGAATCAAATTAACAATATGTATTTTTTCTTTTTTCTTTTCTTTTTTTTTTTTTTACCTCTTGCATGGTTTGATATGGCCTCTTCAGATTGAGGATGTGCAGATTTCCAATAACCGGCCAAGGTTTCGGTCCTGGAGGAGAATGTTGCTTGGATGTTTTAGCCATAAATATTTTAATATTTAAAATAAAAATAAGAATAAGGCCCAGAATTGAAAGTATGGCAAAAGAATCAAAGCCACTCATTTTTAGTAAGTTGAAATAAGTATTTAAACAATAGAGATTTTTGTCACAATTACAACCAGACAAAAACCAACAGCTTCCAAACAAACCAAAATCTTGAAGATGTTGGTAATGTTTGTTCCACATTATGGTTTTTTCATCTATTTTATAATAGAACTGAATTAAGCCCTACACTGTTTTGTTACCTTTTTTGAACTCCTTCCGCCTTTCTCCTTTTTCACTTTTCAGTTCAATCTGCTTTATTAAATAAAATCTGGAAGGATTTTCTTTTCCTGTAAAACCGAGATTAGTCTTAAATTTTCTGATAGATAGTACATGTTTAATCCTCAATATGAAACTACGGTTTTATAATACAATTGATTGTGCAGTTTGCTAAGGCGCACCACATTCTGTGTGTGGTTGGTTAAATAACAACAGCTCAATATCAAGAATTTCAAGTTCCTTTTTTTTTTCTACATAAGAGTTAGTTTATAAATAGCTCTCATAGATAGTGACAATAAATATACTGGGAAAAAGATTGAGATACAACTCAAACCATCATTAAATTGCAACCATTGTTTAACAAAAATCAACAAAAGCTATTCTGAGAATCAATGAACAGTATGGGTCTTCACGAAGGACCACTGAGTAGCTTATTATCTGCCAATTGTATCACATATATTTATATTGGTAAATTTATAATATCCTCATGTATGTATATTCAGCTTGAGAGTCTCTTTCTGAAATGTTTGGGTGCAGAAGTGTTTTCAGATTTTAGATTCCTTGGATTTTGGAATATTTGCATATACTTATGAAATATCTTGGGGAATGGGACCCAAGTCTAAACATAAAATTCATTTAGGTTTCATATGTTCCTTATGCACATAGGTTGAAGGTAATTGTGTTCAATATTTTTAATGCATCTGCATTTTGACTGTGACCCATCACATAAGATCAGGTGTGGAATTTTCCACTTGTGGCATCATGTCAGTGCTCAAAAAAATACAGATTCTAGGGCATTTGGATTTTGGACTTTCAGGTTGGGGGAGCTCAACTGTACATGCATTTTTTAAAAAAATTCTAATTGGTTATACATTGTTGAGAGCCAAAGCCAAAGGGGCCCCAGCAAACTTCCAGCTGCCGGCTGATGATTGGCTCATAGCGGCCCCAGCAACATCTAGCTGATTGGCTCCTCTGCGGTGATGTTCATTGGGCTGTTTCCCTGCCCTTCAGACTGCCAGCTGATGATTGGCTCACAGCGGCCCCAGCAACATCTAGCTGATTGGCTCCTCCACAGAGCTGTTCATTGGGCTGTTTCCCTGCCCTTTCAGACCACGGAGCTGCTCATTGGGGGACTTCTTTGGCTCCGCCCACACAACCCAGCCAATCGGCCTCAAGAGCAGGAGGATTGTGGGAGGTGGTGAGGCTTGTGTGGGTGAGCGGCTTGTGGAAGCCGGTGGTGGCAGTTGGGCTCTGAGGGTTTTTTCCTGAGGAGCTGTTTTGTTTGGCATTTGTAGTTCTAAAAATAAAGTTAGTTTCTTTTGACAAGTGGCTCCTGAATTGTGCCCAGACAGACTGCGGCAATACATGACAGAAGAATGTATTTCACTTCATTGTACAAAAAGGAGCACAACTTTTCATTTCTCTGGTTGTACACAATGTAGAGTTGCACCATATGTGTAGTCATACATTTACCTAGGGTAATGATAATCATCTTATTTCACAATCTTTCCCACTCCCAACTCCCATCCTTTTCCTTTCTTCCCCTTTGCCCAATCAAAGTTCCTCCATTCTCCCTACAATGCCATCCCCGATTCCCCCTAGTTATGGATCAAAATCCACTTATAAGAGAGAACATTTGGCCTGTGTTTTTTTTTGGGATTAGCTAACTTCACTTAGCATGATATTCTCCAACTCCATCCATTTACCTGCAAATGTCATAATTTTATTCTCTTTTAATGCTGAGTAATATTCTATTGTGAATATATACCACACTTTCTTTATCCATTCATCTGTTGAAAGGCATCTAGGTTGGTTCCACAGTTTAGATTTTGTGAATTGTGCTGCTATGAACATTGATGTGGCTGTGTCACTATAGTATGCTGATTTTAAGTCTTTGGGTATAAACTGAGGAGTGGGATAACTAGGTCAAATGGTGGTTCCATTCCAAGTTTTCTAAGGAATCTCCATACTGCTTTCCATAGTGGTTGCACCAATTTGCAGTACCACCAGCAATGTATGAGTATACCTTTCTCTGCACATCCTCAACAACACTTATTATTGCTTGTATTCTTGATAATTGCCATTCTGACTGGAGTGAGATGAAATCTTAGAGTAGTTTTTATTTGTATTTCTCTAATTACTAGAGAGGTTGAACATTTTTTAAATGTATTTGTTGATCAATTGTCTATCTTCGTCTGAGAAGTGTCTGTTTGGTTCCTTGGCCCATTTATTGATTGGGTTTTTTATTTTTTTTGGTGTTAAGTTTTTTGAGTACTTTATATATCCTGGAGATTAGTGCTCTATTTGATGTGCTCAAATAGATAGTAAAGATGTTCTCCCATTCTGTGGGCACTCTCTTTACATTATTGATTGTTTCCTTTGCTGAGAAGAAGCTTTTTAGTTTGAATACATTTCATTTATTAATTCTTGATTTTATTTCTTTCACTTTAGGAATGTGGTTAAAGAAATTAGGACCTAATCCGACATGATAAAAATTTGGCCTGATTTTTCTTCTGTTAGGTATAGGGTCTCTGGTCTAATTCCTAAATCCTTTATCCACTTTGGGTTGAGTTTTGTGCATGGTTAGAGAGAGTGGCTTAATTTCACTTTGCTACTCAAGTTCCTTATAATGATCAGCCTCTTCCACCCTCTTAAAGGTGTGGAAGAGAAGTGATTTTAAACTTAGTACTGTGCATAGATCCTGGCACAGTCTCACCAGATTACTTGACTTACTGAGCTTTAATTTCTTCAGTTCACAATGAGAAAAATGATAATGATACTGTAGACAAAGGTTGGACTGTGATGAATACAGAGTTTATATGTACATTGCCCCTAGTGTGTATTAAAAGCTCAGTGCCTGGCGTTCCTCATTTATCTTTGGTCCACTGACAAACTCTCATCTATTATGTCTGAATTCTTTTCTGTAAAGGGAAGTTTTCTTTTTTTTTTTTTCATCAAATTTGCCACTTTTTTGTGTACTTTTAACCATGTGTCTGAAAGACAGTTGCTCATTCTTCTCGACTTGCTCAAGAAAGAAATGCAGTCTTCCCTTTTTGTGTCAGAATGACTGACCAGGAACTAGGTCAACAGATTGGACCAACTGATATATTGCCTTTTTGATAGCAATTTTTCCTCAATTTTTTTCTAGTCATCATCATTTTATATATTTAATGTTTAGTTTATCATCTGTTTTCTGCAAGAAATCAGAAATTCTTGAAAGTGAGGACTTCTTCTTCTTTTTTTTTGCTTTACTGTGGAATTCCCAAAAACTTAGAACAGTGCCTGGCATTTAAAATACTTATTCAATTAGTAGATAAATAAAAGAGTGAATGAATAACTGACATCTTTGAAACTTTATGTTTTCAGATGATCATTCCTGGTGACATAGGACTGGTAAGAACCAAGTGACCATAGATGTCAAATCTGCCATTTTATGAGTAAGAAAATTGTAATTCAAAGAGGTCAGGGATTTGGTGAGGATCGAATAACTCCATTTTTTAAAAGATTTTTTTAAAGGTGAATGCAATATATTTATTTTATTTATTTATTTTTATGTGGTGCTGAGAATTGAAACCAGTACCTCACATGTGCAAGGCAAGAGTTGTACAGCTAAGCTATAATCCCAGCCCCTCTGATAGCTACTTTTTAACAGAGGTGCAATTAAGTTCACTCTTCCTACAGTGCTCCTCAGACCACTTGTATTTACATAATACTAAAAGTTTTATAGTTTGAGGACTCCGCTTGAGATGATCTTGATAAACTTCTCTAACAGACACTGATGATAATTTTCTTGAGCCAAGTCTTGAACATTTGAATAGTGTAAGAGAGGGGCAGCTACAGGGACAAAACAAAGGGCAGTGTTTCTTTGCATAGAAAATGACTGTCTCAAAGCCATCTTCCTAGTGACATTTATATTTAATAGTGTTGCAGGGAAATAGGATCATTTTTCAAGACAAAGAACAGAGGAAGAAGCAAAGAGTTCAATCAGACAAATGGGAACGTGATAGGAGTTAAATTACTTGCAATCAATTCCTTCAAATTGTTATATAATAAGAGGTAATACTGTAATAACAGGTCCTAGTCATGCCATTATTATTCCAACACTACAAATGTGGAAGCTCAGACTTTAAGAAGTTAAGTAATCTGGCCCAGATCACATAATTGATAAGTAAAGAACTCAAGTGTGCCTGACTCCAAAGCTTTTAATCTGTCATGTGTTGCTAATTCCGGATGTTGGTGATTCACATGTCTGGCTTTCATTAACATAGCACCTAAAATTTGATTATAGCTGACTAACAGCCCAAAAATATAGTCATAAATGTTTCTTATTGATGTACTTTTGAATATTTAAAGATAATTGTTGGTTATAGTCACCATTATTTTCTGACATATGAGTTAAGAAAATTAGGTCTTTTTATCTGTCATTAATTATTGAGAGAAGAATAATGAAATCTTTGAGTTCTCTATCTGTCTTTGCATTTCTACATATTTTTACTTCGTGATTTTGAGGTTTTGACGTTAGAGGAGTATCTATTATTCTGTCCTTCTGAATAATTAACCATTTTATTATTTTGAGATTACATTTAATATTCCTGTTTTCTATTTTTAATCTAATTCACCTTCATTAATATAGCTTTCCCAACTTTTAGTGACTAATATAAACAGGGCACATATTTTCCCTGCTAATTTACTTTTAACCTATTTTTGTCTTTATATAAAATGCTTCTTTGAAGGCAGCACATAGTTTGGTCTTCCAATTGTTTTTTATCCCATCCAACAATCTCTGTCTTTTAATTCAAATG